TGGTGCTGTCTGGCGTGATTTAGAAGAACGTAACTGCCCTGTGCATTTTTAGCTTTGTTAATTAATCTGGAATTGTTCTGTGTATCTTGCTTGGGTTTCAAGTATTGTTTTCCGGTTCTGAAATGGGAGGGAATGGCTGTTAAATTTTCTGGCCTGCATGAATGCTGCATGTCACAGGATCTCAGTCTGACATTCCCGACTTTCCAAAACAGTTCTGTGTACTTCGAGTCATACTCTGGCCTCTTTAAATAATACAAGACAGGCTGACAGGGAAGGATTAGCTAAATCCTGGCAGGTTCTCACTTCACTCCCTTCTCACACCGAGTGCCCTTCGCTGTGGGCAGACGTTGTGTTTGAAGGTCTGCCTGTCATCAGTTGCTTTATAACAATCACTCATGATCATCTTATGACCCAACTGAAGAGGGGCAAAACTGGCATTCAGAGCCTCTCCTCATCTATTATTAACTGCTGCAAAAGGCTCCGTTTGGCAAGGGTAAATATTTTTATAGTAATTGATTTGCTTACATGCTTACTGCTTCCCTTCACTATCTTATTTTTAGAGGTGGTCCTTGACTTAAAATCACAAGTGGGAGGCTGGAATTTTGGTCCTTAACCAGTGTGGTTGCTTAAGCAGGCTATCACCTGACCAGATCCTATTTTACAATCTTTTTTTTTTTACGGCAGTCATTAAGCGAATCACGTGGTTAAGTGAATCCATCTTTCCCTATTGACTTTGCTTGTCGGAAACTAGCTGAGGAAGCTGGAAAGTGTGATCGTATGACTGCAGGACATTGCAACTGGTCATATATGTGAGCTGGTTACCAAGCACCCAAATTGCAATCCCTTAACCTCACGAGCGGTGCGAGAGTCATAACTTTGAGGACAGGTTCTAAGCCAACTGTTTTCAGTGCCATTGTAACTCCAAATGTGAATGTTTGTAAATCAAGGCCTACTATACTTTCTCTTTTATAAACTACCCTCTTTCTCTGAAAATAAGACCCAACTGGAAAATAAGCCCTAGCATGATTTTTCAGGATGCTCATATTTAAGCCCTGCCCTGAAAATAGGCCCCAGTTAAGATTGTCAGCCAGACGGATGCATTAAGAACCGTATTCCCCCCCCCCCAAAAAATAAGACCTAATTGGAAAATAAGCCCTAATGTGTCTTTTGGAGCAAAATTAATATAAGACCCGGTCTTATTTTTAGGGAAACATGGTACTTGGATAGAGGGTTGGATTCCAAAATTAATCCGTTTTTCTCATTTTTTTCCTTTAACCTTCCCTTTTCAAATTAGGTTTTTCCAGTTTTAAGTTATCAAGAAAAGGGGAATATTAGCTAAATCTTCAGCTAGTAATGATTGAGTCGAGCTAGCTACCTCTAGATCTTGAGCCAACATTTTGTAAGTCAGAAGGAAAAAAAAAAAACCCCATTCTGAGCTAAGAGTTATTGGTGGTGGAAGGTGGGAGTAATGTTTCCAGCAGATTCTTTACAAGGTGGGCATTGGAACATTTCTTCCTTAACTTTGTGTGCCAGCCTTTCATAGACTGATACATGAAAGATTCTCTTTGCCTACCTCTAGAGCAGCTGGAATCTTTGTAGGCCACACTTTTGTCAAAGAACATTCACAGTTTCTTCTGTTTTTGAATGTTTTATTGGGTTTCCCTCTGCAGAGGGCAATTTCTTTGTCTCCTAGCTTACTTTACAGTACAGTACTTCTGAGATGTTTGTGCTGCTATGCGATCAGTTTTCTTAACCTTATTTTATATTATCTTAAGAAAATTAAAATCCCATGCTCTTGTCCTACTTTAGCTTGAAGTTAAGATCAGTGGAATTTATTTGGACACAATTAGTCCTCTGTAAAGGGATGTGATGGCTCAGTGGCTAAGACGCTGAGCTTGTCAATAAAAAATGTCAGCAGTTCAGCGGTTCGAATCCCTAGCACAGCATAATGGAGAGAGTTCCCTTTACTTGTCCCAGCTTCTGCCAACTTAGCACTTCGAAAACATGCAAAAATGCAAGTAGAAAAATAGGGACCACTTTGGTGGGAAGCTAACAGTGTTAGTTCCGTGCGCCTTCGGCGTTTAGTCATGCCGGCCACATGACCACAGAGACGTCTTCGGGCAGCGCTGGCTCTTCGGCATTGTAACGGGGATGAGCACGGTCCCCTAGATCCGGAAACGACTAGCACGCATGTGCGAGGGGAACCTCTACCTTTTTAGTCCTCTGTAAAAGGAAATCTTCAATCATTCACTCACTTGGAAGCCAGACCCCTTGAGCTTGCTGGGACTGGGTTCAAGAAAGATATGTATAAAAGTTGGATTTTGCTGCCTGTTGTCTCCTGTGTGGGAAAATATGCCCAATGAGAGCATCCAAATTTCAAAAAAATTTGGGCTTCACCTATATAGAGGTGATTCTGCAAAATACCATCTAAAGCCACGGTGGCACAGTGATTAGAGTGCAGTGCTGCAGGCTACTTCTGCCGCCTGCCACCTGCCTGCAATTTGCCAGTTCAAAATCTCACCAGGTTGACTCAGTCTTCCTTCCTTCCATGGTTGATAAAATGAGGACCCAAATTGTTTGGGGCAATAGGCTGACTCTGCAAACCATTTAGAGAGGGCTGTAAAGCACTGTCAAGTGATATAGAAGTGCTATTGCTATAAAGAAAGCCTGCTTATTTAAGAAACTAACATAAAGTGACAGAAACAGCAAATAAGATGAATCTTCAAATCATAGGCCATCTTCATGGCTATAACTGCCACCAGTAACTAGATTAGGAGTTTTTATATGTGCTCAATATGCTTTTTGTTACCACATATAGTAACAAAACAGAAGACTAAAATGAAATACCACTTCTTTAAAACCAATGGCAACACCACTAGAGGTAAATCATCAGAAAATAATGTTCAAATGAATATTAGCAAGAGCAATATTAGGAACTCTTTGGTGATGCTCTTCCTTGGGATTCAATGCTACAACTTCCTCGATTCCTTTACAACAGAGGTGGGAAACTATGGCCCCTTTAGGACTTGTGGATTTCAAGTCCCAGAATTCTTCTGGGAGGAATTCTGCAAATTAAAGCCCACAAGTCCTAAAGGGCCCATAGTCCCTCACCTCTGCTTTACAGTGAAAGCCAACTCAAATAGTCAAACAGAGATGCTTGCTCTGTTTAATATGTCCCAGGGAGAAGGAAAGAGTCTTATTAAATTCCCTCAAACCCAACCATTTAAACATTAGAGATGGCAAATAAAGTGGGGAAATCGGGAAAGAAGAAAGGAAAACTGGCTCCATCTGGTAATTTGGCAAGAATGTGCCAGGCAGAAGAGATTTTAATATATGCCTGGGCTTCTGGTTATGTCAGGCCGATCAGCCCTTTTTTGCTACCAGGGATTACACCTTTTTTTATGTTTGGCCTGTAGGGAGGGCCAATCTTGATGGGGGAAGGTGAGGCATCATTTTGGGAAGGGTTAAGGGTGGATGACTTAGCTTTGCTGAGAGCTGAGACACCTATTTTGTACTTGAAAGGCCCAGAAGAAATATCAACTTGCTTAGAATTTCCCCAAAGCTTTGTTTACCTTTTTGCCCCACGGAGCCTCAGAATGAGCACCCGCAAACGTGTGTTGCTCCTTCCAGTCTAAATTGATGCTAATAATGTTTGTGTTGGCATTGCCTTGGCGTAGAGCTCCAGAGTGGTGATGAAATAAAGAGGGCCTCGGGTCTCCCTTTGCAGCCCCACCCTTACTAGGCAGGAATGGGAATGTCTTGAATGATGCACATTACGGGAAACCGTGAATGTCTGTTCTGTTCATGGGCCAGAATGCTTGCTTGGCAGATTTTTTTTTCCCCAGGGAAGGGAAATTCTAGGATCTAAAATTGTTCAAAATGTTCAAAACACGCCAATGCAGCTGGGTTTCTTGTGGGTTCTTGGCCACCAGGTTGTGGTTCCTCCTTCTGAATTACTGTCTTTTTCAACATCAGGAACTTTAAAATGGTGGACTTCAAACTCCCAGAATTCCCTAGCCGGCATGCTGACTAGGGACTTCTGGGAGTTCAAGTCCACCCATCTAAAAGTTCCTGAGGGTGGAAAACCCTGCTCCAAAAGCATAGCAGGAGGGAATGTGCTAAAAAAAATGGTACACATAATGGTGACTTTCCTGGTTGAGCATTTAAAAAGAGGGTGGATAGATGGAACAAAAATCTCTGTGAGGCATTGTTTCAAAGATATCCTGGCCAAATCCTTTGACTGGCCAATTGAAATGAATTACATCTTAAAGAGACGTCATTTGTTTATTATTTTTGGAAGACTCCTATGGCTGCCCATCTTCTGAAATGCAACCTTGGATGGCCCACAACAAACCATTGAGCAATGCAACCCACCAGCTCCAACCTCATCTTCTCCCATCACCATTCAACGAGAATCGTTGAGTTGCAGGAAATGGTAGACACAAATGGCACATTTTACTTCAGTTTCGTGTTCACGTTTGAGCCGTCAGAAATAAGAGTTCGGATGTGGCACTTAACACGACCAAAGTTTCCAGCCACAAGAAGGGGCATTTGTATCTTGTGCATGAATCTTGGGATGTGACATTTGTCTTGTGGTGATGGTTTCCCTCCTCAAGCCATTGCTGGAATTTTGTTGCCTCCAAAACACAGGGGTGGGATTCAACCGGTGTAACAACCAGTTCTGTGGACGCGCGCAGCATTTGAAAACTGCCTGTTTTCAGCTCTAATACTTACCTTCTACTCCAATACTTACCTTTCACGGTGGATTGCACGGCATGTGAATCACCTGAGCTGCAAAACACAGAACTAAAGGACAGACTAGGGCAGGAGCAGGTGGGCGGGGCCAAATGATCACCGGAGCTACCAGTTCGCCCGAACCAGTCCGAACCAGTAGAATCCCACCCCTGGGCCCCTATACAAATAGACGTGGCCAAAGAGACTGACCCATCCACAAATGAATGGCGTCGTTTTGCTTTGCAAAATCCCTGTTTGCCTTTCAGACATCTGACTCATGCTAATGGAAACTCTTGACCTCATCAAAATGGTGGACTTAGAATACAGCCTGCTCTGCCCCTTTATTCCCTTAAAGGACTATCAAGACCCTCTTCCTTTATCTTAAGAAATTTTGCAAGAGATGGAGATCACGAAAGAACTCTCACCATCTATAAAAAGCTCTGGAGCATTAACTGACTTCCAGTCGCTGGGAAATGGTTCAGACGGATCTGTCCATACAGGTAAAAAAAAAAACTTTCAATTGTTATCAGATGATAAAAAAGATAAAAGATGATGAAATTTAAATTCAGATTGTCTCTAAGCATTATCTTACATCATGTAGATAAATTTGCCTTAATGGCTTCATAGGCTTCTCTGAAAAGCAAGCAATAATCTAAGGAAGTTAACTGATGGGCATCATTTCATATTGCCTGCATTTTGTGTACACAAGGATTGTTTTCTTTTCTAAATTGCATAGACAGAAACTGTGTTTGTTTGTTTTTTGGTGGGGATGGCTGGGATCCTTTTAGAACTAATTGTGCGTGCTCTGAATTCAGACAGGAATGTTATGTGCTGCCACTTGTTACAATTAAGATAGTAGGAAACTTGGAAATGCTCTGGAGTAATTTTTGTCATAGTAACTAGCATTTCAAACAGTCAAATCCCCCAAGTGGGCTGTTCTCATCTTATAAAGCATGACGTGCTTATCATTTTGTTTAGAATTATTTTTGAGAGAAGAAGAGACCAGGGTTAGAAAAGGAAGACCAGATACTGAGGAGAGCACTATTCTTACATAAATATGGATCTGATACAGAATGAGAGGGTCCTTGGTACTCTGTGAACTTGGTTGTTTTCTTGCAGACATATCATTACCCAAACTAGGCAACGTCAGTGCTAGAAGGGAGTGAGGTTTGCTCTTAAGAGGCAATGATGATATTACCTAGTTGGGTAATGAAATGTCTGCAAGAAAACAACCAAGCTCAGACAGCACAAAGGAACGCCTCATTTCAACCCTGAGCTACAGATATTCTCCTTTATTGATGTAGAGTAACACTTACTGGGAAGAAACCTGCATTTTTATCTCAGAAGGGTACATGGCAGTGTGTTAAATTCATTCTTGCCCTTTCAAAGAATTCAAAGAAATTAAATTCAGTTCAAACAAAAAGACCTTCTTTGTATAAATGTTGCTTTCCATGGTGGTGTGGTGTTGGTGTATAATGGTCCAAAAGTGATGTTTTCTGTTAACCTAAGTCACTTTTGCCCTGTGTTGTGTTGCCCTGTGTGCACAACTCCAAACTGAACCTTGAACTAAACAGTCTGGATCATATAGCAAACTAGCTATTTGCTTCAGAGTGTAAGACAACAAGTAACGGAAAAACATCAAGCTTTGGAGTGAGATTAGTATGAGGTACATGATAGGAAACACACGGTGTGGGAAGGCGGTGGATCTCCTTCAATTGAAGTTTAGAAGCAGAAGACTTAACTTTTATCCTTCAGGGATGTCTCAATAGTAGTTGCTGTGTTTTGGCAAGGCCTGGACTGGATAAATTCTTGTCCCAAAGAATATTCCTGCTTTGGATCCCGATTCATGCTATTCAGACTTTTTTTTGGGAGGGGTGGAGGATTGGTTTTTCAGGACTGAGGAAGTGATAAAAAGATACCCATTGTCTTCCAGTATTTTGGGTTTCCCTCGTGATGCTATTTCAATGCTAAAGCAAGAATGGGCACTCCCAGCCTTTTGCAGCTCCTGAGATTGTGCTGCAGAGAATTTGATGAGAAAATATCCAAATTATGGGGGTTGGGACTATGTTTGGCTTAAAAAGGAAACCAAAGAGTGGAAACGCTGGAAGATAAGTCCTTACCCATGAGTTCTCTCAGTTCTCTCAAATGGTGAAACATAGATTATTTCCAGGATTGGCCCTACAAAATACATCAGCACAAAACCTTCTGCATCTCCCTGGTGATTTAGAAGGCCCTGTTTCTTCCTGCAACCTGAGAATCTTTGCCCATCCCTCCATTACAAATGTTTCCAGAAAGAAAATATATGGAGGGGCGAGAAAATTCAGTTCCGGCCTTCCGTTCTAGAAATGGGTAGCAACACAGTTGTCACACTCTTGGGCAGAGGTCTCCAAACTTGGCAACTGGTGGACATCAACTCCCAGAATTCTCCAGCCAGCATAGCAAACCTTCCCTTCCTCCAGAGACTTTTTTCTGAGATGATAGAGGAAAATATGAGCTTTGGGATTCCTCCATTTCTGATTCCTGCATCTTGAGCATCTAGAGTAGAGGTGGGGAATTACGGCCCTTTTGTGACTTGTGGACTTCAACTCCCAGAATCCCATGCTGGCTCAGGAATCCTGGGAGTTGAAGTTCACAAGTCATAAAAGGGCCATAGTTCCCCACCCCCTGATTTAGAGGATCCTATTGGCTAGAATTGCTCAGATAATAATACCTCCCAGGTAGGTGGACGAGGATGACAAAAGCTGACGGTCCCTCTTTCTCCCCTTTGCAGATTCTTTTTCACCAGCATCAAGCCCCTCATCTGTGAATCTTGCTGCTCTTCCAAACAGCAAAGATGAGCTCCCCAATGTGGCCTTAAACATTGAATGTAGAATCTGTGGAGATAAAGCATCGGGCTATCACTATGGAGTACACGCTTGCGAAGGTTGTAAGGTATGTCACCCATGTACAGGATTTAACTGGGTTTTGGTTTTGGGTTTTTTTTTTTACAGCAGCACTAAACAATATATGATATGATTGGACGATATCATTATTATATGATATCCAAATCTATCTATCTATCTATCTATCTATCTATCTATCTATCTATCTATC